CTAAACAGGCCCAGTTTTTGTAACCTTTCCTCCTCCATCAGGTTTTCTAAACCTTTCATCATTTTTGTTGCTCTCCTCTGGACTCTCTCTAATTTGTCCTCATCTTTCCTAAAGTGTGGAGCCCAGAAGCAAACACTGTACTCCAGTGAGTCCTCACCAGTGCCCAGTATAGCAGGACAATTATCTCCAATATCTCCTATTAATACACCCGAGAATGATATTAGCCTTTTTTGCAGCTGCACCACATTTTTGACTCACATTCAATTTGTGATCCACTATAACTCCCAGATCCTTTTCAGTAATACTATTGTCTAGCCAGTTATTCCCCATTTTGTAGCGGTGCATTTGCTTTTTCCTTCCTAAGTGTAGTACCTTGCACTTGGCTCCATTGAGTTTCATCATGTTGAATTCAGACCAATTCTCCAAATTGCCATGGTCCTGTTGACTTCTAATGTTGTCCCCTCCAAAGTGCTTGCAACCCCCTCCAGCTTGGTGTCATCTGCAAATTTTATAAGCACACTCTCCACTCCATTATTCAAGTCATTAATTAAAATATTGATTAGTAATGAACCCAGGACTGACCCCCCCGCGGGACCCCACTAGATAAACCTTCCCAGTTTGAGAACAAACTACTGATAACTACTCTTTGACCACACTCTTTCAACCAGTTGTGCACCCACCTTATAGTAATTTCATCTAAACCACATTTTTCTAGTTTTTCTTACAAGGGTGTCATGTGGGACTACGTCAAAAGCTTTACTAAAATCAAGTAATCTTCTAGGGACAGTGAGAATCATCAAGGACTGCAGGTTTCCTATGGTTATGGGAGGTGTCATCAGGTGGCACTATTACAGTCTTTCAAGTTCTCTTACTTAGCGTGTGAGCAAATATTTGGTATTGGCTGTACAGTTAGTCTGGGTTATGCAAGGTTCCAGGTAGAGGGAGCTGTGTGAGCAGCAGTTTTTGCTCTCTGCCTTTATGTATAGTCAATTCTTCTAGCAATATTGCTCTCTGGGAACTGAGCTGGTATTCCTGAGAGAAGAGATTGCTTGCATGCTCTTTGTCCCCACTCACCTGCCAGGACTAGGATGCTGGTATAAATAAGTTATATTTAGAACATCCCCAGATGCTGCATCATTGATTCCTCCTCCCCTGGAGACAACCTACAAAGATCCAGAACACAGTACAGCTGGCCCTTTAAAAATCTCTCCTGCCCTGCAGGGTGAATTCTACTGAATAACCAAGTTCCAGAGTTGCTCTTCCTGCAGAACAGGAAACCTTTTAAAGAGACAGGACAGCATATCAATACATGTTGCAGAGTGTTCTGCAGCCCAAGGTCCACAGAGCAGGATTTATCTTCCTACAAAAATGTGATGGAGTCCTACATGAAGTGCTTATGCGCTAATTTACTGATCAACAGGAGCATAAAGGACCCTTGGTTCAGACATGAAGTCCTGCTGCTCTGGAATGGAGAGTGGATGTGTGAAGTGTTTAGGAAGCCTGGGGAGACCTAGCTTTGAGGAGAGTACTTGTTGCCTTCCCATTTATATCAATCTAGGTTTATATATATCCCCCTCACCATGGTACCTGAGCACCTGCTGGGAGAAAGGGAAAACTGCAAGAAACAGACACTGTTTATTTAAGATTCGCAAAGGAAGAAAAAGGTCCAGTTTGGAGAGGGAAGTATCCTGCCTCCCCGGGCCAAACATCACAAGGCCTAACCTGGATGTAAGGCTTTCTCAAAGCCCAGTCAAGAATATGTATAAACTTATGTAGAAAACAATAATAAAATTAATCTTCTAAAGTAATTGATGATAAAAAACGTGATAGACTTCCCAATCCTGCAAAGAAAACCAGTCTGCATTGGAAATAATGAAAAGAGGAAGCACTGAATTGGTGATTCTCATCATGCCTCAGCTGGAGAAAAGGACATAAGAGTTGAGGATGCAGCCTGGCAGGAAGGAAGTTTAACAGCTCAGAACTGCAGTTATTTAGTACTCTGAACTCTAAAAAGCAAGACCCCTGGAGTGCAGATTGATTATATTTTTATAATTATATTATATTTGAGCAGTACTCCCTAGTGGAGAGAGCACTGGACTGAGACTAAGGAGACCCAGGTTCTAGTCCTGGTTCTGCTACTGGCCTTCTGGATGATCTTGATCAAGTCACTTCCCCTTTGTGCCTCACTTTCCCTATCTGTAAAATGGGGATAATGATACTGACCCTCTTCGTAAAGGGTCTTGAGATCTACTGATGGAAAGTATTATCATAAGAGCTAGGTATTATTCTATTTACTGTTATTACTTACCTTTGACCAGCAGGCACTTAAACTGGAGGAGAAAGAACTATCCTTGAGTTGAACAAGCATCAATCAGTAAAGAAAAAACCCTCCACTTCAGCCTTGTGGCCTAAGAAGTGGCATGTTAGCAAAATTCTTTTTGTTTAATTAAAAGGAAATACAGAAAATATCCTTTTCTTTATAGAAATGAAGTAGCAAAATGTTCTTGAAAAGTTACAACTACACTATGGTCTGCTTTAAATGGGGACATCAAACTTCTGTCATGACAGTTCAAACACACAATCAGTACATTCAGTTCAAAGTAAACACCATACATGTGAATAGTGGTTATTCCCCAAAAACTTTGTTTTGATTAGACGTGCCCTGAAAGTCACATCTTAAAAACTCTCTGCAAAATGAGGTAATTCCACCCCACAATATAACAGCAGCAGTTCACACTCATTCTATTTATTCACATTTAGTAGTTGCACCTATCACAAGCACTAGCTGCATCACACTATTCCTCTAACACACACACTAACAAAATAAAATTCTAAACAAGGCCTTGACCCAAATATCTTAAAACAAAATAGACCTCCCTAAATCTACCCATCTGTAGAAAAATAGCCTCCCTTCCTCCGCCCCAGGAAAAGTCTGAGGAAAACAAACAGATGAGTTCTTGCAGCATCTGAAAATGACCAATTCCAGGCTCTGGTGAGCCAAGTTGCAGCAGCAGCAGGAAGCAATTTCCAGAGTCAAAGATCCTTTCCTAAGAACTCCCAGTGCCTTCCCAATTACATTAGAGAGGAATTAAAGCAATTGCTCTGGTATCACAAGGAGAGAGACCGTCTCTGAAGTTGCTAGGACCGAGCCATCAAGGTATTTTATTGGTCAAAATCAACACTTGAAGTATTACATGCAGCAGATTTTAAAAGGAACTCTGGCATAGACTGAGTTAGGCTGTGTAGAGGAATGTGCCCACTTTATCCATGCCTTGAACAGAGGAGTCTCTGCCAACAAACCAGGATCTTTCTCCAGGACTTGGCACAGTTCCTGATTGGACTTCTACTAACAACTCACCTCTGGCAACCTGGCTTCAAATCCTAGATGGGTCACAATACAGAAGGAGTTTTGTGGCCTTAACCAATCTAGTCCCCAGTGTTCACTTGTCTACATCACCCACACTTCAGCATCCTCTTCTCCCCAGAGACCCATAACTAAAAACATGCATCATCAGATCAGGATTGTTACACCTCACATAAGCATCCGTACCACCCTGCACAGCTGGAACTTTGATGCATCTGTGACTGTGCTGAATATCAAGAGAGGAACTCCTTTCCCCTCAAAACGTACACCTAGTTTGGTTTCTCGGTACCAAACATTTGGCAATGGAAGACAACTATTGTCATCTCTTTGGGTTTTACAAACTGTAGTGGAGTACAAAAGAGGTTGGGGGGGGTGGGGGTTACACCATATCTGGTGTAAGTTTTCAGTGTGAAATGTAGGGAATTTAACTGTGCTCCCACTCAGATGAAAGTGGCTTGCAGCTACTTTACCCATCAGCATTCCTACTTTATTCCTGGGGGAACTCTGCACCAAAAAAATTAAAAATTCTGAAACAAAATTAAAAATTCTGCACACAATATTTTAAAATTCTGCAAAATTCTGCATATTTTATTTGTCATAACACAATATAATCACACCACTTTCAATTATTTTTGGTCATTTATTTCAAAATACCTGTCAGCAAGTATGTCTGTAACAATACAGACAACAAACAAAAAAGATTCAGAAAATGTTTTTTGAGAAATAGATTGCTTACTAGGGATATTAATACATAACTGAGTAATAATTCATTTAAACTACAATACATAACTTTATTTCCTGCACCCCTCAGAAGCAGAGCAAAGGCTTGGGGGAGTCGGGGGTAACGTAGGAGGTGAGGGAGAGGGAAGTAAATTGCTGGGGAGGAGCCTGCGTGTAAACTTGGAGGGTTATTGGGTATGGGTGGGAAAAAGTATGGAACAGGTTTTTTGGGGAGGACAGGAAGTGATTGTTAGGAAGCTTCCCCCATGCAGACCCTGGCTGACCTGTATCCTCAGGCACATCTGCCTCTGTCCCCATGTGTCCTTGCACACCCTGTCTACGTGTTTCTCTCCACCCCCACTCAGATGCCCACTCCCCCACATCCCCATGTGGCCCTGCACCCCCTCCCAAGTGTCTCTGAGCCCCCAACTCAGCCATCTCCCTGTCACTATGTAGCCCTGCATCCCCACCCCCTTTCCCCATGTAGCCCTGCACCTTCCTCCCCCCGTGACCCTGCACCTGCACTTCCATTCACCCCCTGCCCCAGTCTGTCCTCCCCCACTAACCATTATGAGCCCCTGTCTGAGCCCCAGCAGCCCCACACTGTCTGTCTCCCCATAGCCCTGTCTCCTGACCTGGCCCAACATGCGCGGTGAAGGCGGCTCTGCAGGCACTCTCTCTTCCCTAGCTGGCCAGGAGCTGCTGCTCTGGTCTATCACCACAGCGCTCTCTGGTGAGCAAAAGGTACAACTGCAGAAACTTTCCGGCAAAAGCTTTTTTCTGCATAAAAAATTAAAACTATGTGTGGCTTATTAATTATGCATGCACAGTGGCACAGAATTTCCTCAGGAATACTACTTGAACCATATGCCTTTGGTGCATTGCAGTCCATCCATGTCCTATGCCAAGAAGGTTCTCATTGCCCATTGCCCTTCTTCATCTTCCTCCTGCTCAGAGCCAAATTTAGGGCCTTTAGGAGTATGTCCTTGTTGTTCAGAACATTGTAGCAGTTCACTTCCACCAGCCTGTCAAAGTCATAGGGCTCAAAGGTGAAGTTTAGCGTGCGGTAAGGAGAGTCTTTTCCCTCAATGACAAAATCACCAAAGGATTTCTCATCTTCTGACTCACGTTCTATTCCTGCAACCAGAGAAAAATAAACTGTGAAAGTCTTACTAGAACCCTTTAATTGAATCACCAATGAAGGTCACAGATCAACTAAGCAGGTGTCAACTTTTGCTCACTCTCCAGGTCAGGAATTGCATGAGAAGAGATTTCAGCACCTCAGAGTAGGGTCACAATACTTTAGCTTTCAAACTTTGAGCCAAAGTACCATTTCCACTTCATACTTCCACCACCCTCCAAAAACACAGATTAAAGAGAAAAAAATTATTTTGTTGCAATAAATCACAGTATGGCACACTACAGGATTAAGCTATAATTTTGAGGTGAGAAATACTAACCTGACTTCAAGGTAACAAAGTTAATTCTTCCTGGAAGGGGCCGCCCACATTAGGATAACAGGTGTGTTTTTAAAACATGTTTTTAACATCTTAATGTAGACAGGGCCACTTGGGCTTTAACACGTGTTACCATAATATAGAAAAAGGCCCCCACGCCTTCTGTTGTAACTAAACTTGATTTTAAAATGAGTAATGGGGTTCTATGAGTAAAAAGGTGTTTCAGGTTCTCAGGTGGAAAAATAGCTGGGAATTCCTAAATTATAATCCTTGAGGCAATGCTAACTGATTATATTTCAGGCCTCTTTATAATGCAAATACAGTGACCATCACACCATCAGGATAAACCACAGAAATATTAGTTCACATCTACATCTAGCCATTATATGTGGCAGAATTATGTGGTAAGGAAGGGGTTGGTTCATAAAGGAGCAAATAATTGTCTATTTAGATTCCCTCACACTTTACATAGCTTTTGGGACAGCCCTGTTCCTCCCTTCACCAAAATGAAACACTTCTGTTGCTCTTTCTGTAAAAAAGTAATAGAGCTCAATAGCTTACAGGGAACTAGGTAAGGGAAAGCTGTGATATTTTATGGTTAGAGAGACAAAGTGGGTGAGGTAGTATCTCTTATTGATAATATTTTCTATCTTTTATTCTTCAGGGCAGGTCCGAGACCCGAGGAAGAGCTCTGTGCAAGCTCAAAAGCTTGTCTCTCTCACCAGCAGAAATGGGTCCAATAAAAGATTACCTCACCCACCTTGTCTCTCTAACATCCTAGGACCAACACAGCTATAACTGCATACATTTTATGGTTAGGAAAGTTCAGCCAGTCTCGCATTCTAGCTGGCTAATCATACCTGAATACCTTAATCATAGGATCTTGATGCACATTCCCTTACCCGGTGCTTTGTATTTCCGGAATGTATCATTCACCAGTGGGAAGTGAAGCACTATGGGAGCTTTTGGGTTTTCATCATCCACAAACATGTAACATTCTTTTGGCTTCTTCTCATCTTCCTCACTCAAGATGATTTGTGGAAAGGGGATTTCCTGTTCTTCACAGTATTTCTGAGTCAACTGTAAAACCTGTGGTCACAGAACAAAAGTCAAATGTTAGGTCCTGTTTTACCCAGCGAAAACAGAAAAATAGAGAATATTTTCCTTCTAACGATTATATTTATGGCACTACTAAACTATTCAATTTTCATAATTAATTTATGTTATGTAGCAAATATTTTATAAAAGTAGAGGCAGCATGTTCTAAATCACAAGTTTGGGAACTTTTCCACTGGCTTCCTCTCTGACCTAGAGCAAGTCATTTAACCTCTCTGCCTCAGTTTCCTCATCTGTAAAATGGGGATATTGTGAAAAATCAGCAAATATTTTTGAAGTACTGCAAATGTGTAGACATCCTAAGTATTATTACATTTAGCAAGTTTTTAAAAAACACTTTCGTAATATATTTCAAACAGAAAAGTTAGTCAGTCACTATCATTTTACATAGCCAAACCTATAGTTAGACTTGGAAGGATTGGACTCCGATTTCTCACTTCGCTAAAAACAAATAAAATGCTTTCATAATTAAAATTCAAAAATTACATCGAAGAAAAGTTAACGGTATATCTTATGATGGGCTCGTAGACAAGTAATACACTGTGTTGCTGTCACCTTTTTCTGGCAATAAAATAAGGTGTTGACTAATATTAGGATTTTATTACTGAATCTGATGGAGCTCAATTTCTGTAGACATATTTTGAACAGCAACTAGACTTGATGGTGCTAGGGAAAATATTAAAATCGATAAAAATAAAAATACTTGGAAATAAAGTATGTCCCTTAAAATATACTACAAATTAAAATTGAATCATTTCAAGATTATATATATTGAATTTGACTAGCTGCATGTAATATTTTGTGAACATACATTTGTATACAGCACAAATAGCCTACTGTTAGCACAAAAAAATTACCGCCACCTTCATCTTCCCACCTAACAGTGCATTCTACTAAATGGAATAAGAATGTGCAATGGTGTGCCACAAGTCTTATACTGTTAATGGAGATTCACCTTTAGATAAAGTGTTAGGGGCCTATGCTTTTTAAGCAGAAATACTGGCATTTTACCACCATTGTCACTGTGAAGTTCCATGTATGAAGTTCATGTTGTGACATGAAGTTCACAGTGAATTGCCTGGTCTGACAACTGAAGCCTTGAGTGTCCTACTTCAGGAGACTCCCTATTCAAACATCTTGGACTGATCCATGTTATGAAAAGTGTATGTTTCCATGCTTCTTTCCCTGTCTAATGCTGCTCACCTCAAATGGAGCATCCCAAGAGTAGTTAAATGACAAGATGACATCTACATCTCTTTCTGGCTGGAGCACCACGGGAAAGGGAGAGTTGATCGAAAAACCACCATCCACCAAGTACAGGCTGTCTTCCATGGGAGTCAGCTGGTTGGGAAAAGCATCAAGGTGTGTACCTAACAGACACCCCCACCCCCAAAAAAATCACCTTAGTTACCAAAAAGATGGGGGAAACTTTGAAAATGAGGAAATGAAACAACCATTGAGACCTTAAGGAGAAACCTCTAATACATGTTCTGTACTCCCACACAAAATCAGACCTGCACTCTGGATATTCCAGAAGCAAAGTAGAAAACAGGTCTGTATCACCAGCTGGGTGATATTATTTCATAGCCAACAAGTTCTCCGATTGTATCAAATTCTCTGCTGCTGGTGTAAATTTGGCAGCACTCCACTGACTTCAATGGAGCTGTTCCAAACTTATACTAGCAAAGAATTTGGCCCAAAATGCTAAAGTTATGCATGATTTTAAAATATTAACAAAATATCCAAAAAACAGTGATTTATTTCAAAATGGCTACCTTTCCAGGCTACAAAATTCCTGTTGTTGACATAATTTCTGTGAAGGTACAAGCCTTGCATGAAGTTGAAGGTTTCCCCAGAGGTGACACGGGACTTGAAGAAATCCTGGAAAATTTGTAATAAGGGTCCCCCTGGTATAACCAGACGAGTCTTTAACCGAGTGGCTTCCCGAAAATGGAATCTTTGGCAATCATCTATAACACAAGCCATGATAAAGATCAGAATATATTTAAAAGCATGATCATTCAAACCTAGCATTTCAAGATACTAATCTTTTCAGAAATGAAAGTTCAAACTATTGTCATAGGACTGTTTTTCCCCCTACATATGTGGGCACTGTAAAAACGTATTAGTCTGAGGTCCAAATTAACTGAGTCTATACTGAAGTTTCGTCATTTAGGATGTCTTTCAAATCTCACTCATGAGTCATGTAGCCATTCCAAACTGATGCCAATGAAAACGGTCACCATATGACATCATGGATATGCTCTCATATGGGACAACGTTGACTAGAAATACTGAACAATCACTACAATATTTCTTATGGTTACAAATGGGAAATAGTGTAGTGAAACCTAACACTGTGGTATGACAAATGCAGAGTGAGAGGAAGGATGGTTTTTCTACCTACCTATTGAAGGTACTTATAGGCCTCTCCCCATCACCACAATACCTACGCACCTCACAGTCTTTAATGTATTTATCCTCAGAGCACCCCTTTGAGGTAGGGAAGTGCTATTATCCCCCTTGCACAGATGTAGAACTGAGGCCCAGTGTGACTTGTCCAACATTACAGAGAAAGTCTATGGCCAAGAAGGGAATTGAACTCAGGTCTCAAGTCCCCGGCTAACACTCTAACCACTGGATCTTCCTTCTCCTCTTTGTAGTTTGGATACAGGACTGGGTCTCAAGAGACATGGGTTCAATTCCCAGATCTACCATCAGCTTCCTATATGACCTTGGACAAGTCACTTAACCTCTCTGCACTTCTGTGCCACAGTTCCCTATCTGTAAAACAGGAGTAACACCACTTTCCTACCACCCAGGGATGTCACAAAATATTGTAGTCAATGGAACCAAGTAAGGGGGTGGGGCGCGAGAGAGAAGTTAACGGTGACCATTATTATTTAATCTACTGTGTAAATATATAGGCCATATTGTTGAGAGAAACTACATGACAGAGGAGAGTGGAATACAGCTTTAGAGAAACTGTGTTAATGATCCAGCCCAGCTGAGGCTTGTCTGTCCTTGAACATCCCACAGGACTTCTTAAATTTTGGAGTTACATTTATGTGATCATTCTGAAAAGAAGCCTCTAGAAAACCCAGTTTTTAAACAAAAACTGACTATTTTACGGGGTACTGAATGGCCTTACCTATGACTCTGATTACATCTTTCAGAGAATCTAGAAAGCTCAGTCCTGAACCAACCATCTTCAGACAGACATCATCCAGACTTGCAGCAAAGGCACTGCCCCACATTCCTATAGGCAGAGGAAGGGGTAGTGGAGACAGAAATAAAGAAGGATTTTACACCCTCGTAGGCTTCTTAAACCCAGTGCAGTCAATAGAGGCTCTACCATCGGGTCACTGCCTGTTACCGAGTGGGCTGGACCTGTAAGAGGAGTTGAGCCCTACGCCTAATTATCCCTTTCCAAAGTGATGGGTTGGGCTTCGGGCAGTGGTTGGGTCAGGTGAGCAGGCATCAGGTAATGGTAGCTCAGGGATAGTACCATCCTGTACAAGGGAGTCTACTCTGTCAGAGAAAGGGAGACTAGGGAAGACCTAAAGGAGACATTTCTACAGAGAGGCCCAGTCTGGGGTACTCCCAAAAGAGAGATCTGGGATATGTTGTGTTAATTTTGATGGCATATACGGGCCCAAAGAGTCAAAGGTGTTAACATGACCCTGAAACTTTCCAACAATAAAGAGTTTTAAACAAGGTTCAGAGTTTGGTATAGAGAGTGCTTGCTTAGCACCATGGAAAACACACCATTAAACAGTCTTTCAACCTTTTATTAAAGATATAGAAAAAAAAGGAAAAACAGGTAAAGCATTTGAAATGTAAAGTATTAACGAAGGCTTTTATTTTAACCATAACTCTTATCTCCTTTTCCTTTAGCTATAGAGAGATTTTAAGGAAAACCCTTTGTTTGACAGTCTTTTAGATTATATTAAAGATAGTAATAACTGTCCCTTTTGGGGAAAAGAGAAGATGTCAATTGAGATAGGCTGGAACTGTTATTGAAGTTCAATCCTGTTTGCTAAAGGCAAACACACACAAAAGGGGAGAGAAAAGAATAGTAGAGATGCAAAATACAAATTCTGTCTCCGATGTTGCATCCATTTGCAACCGCATTGCTGGAAAAACACAGGCACAGCACATGGCCTTATCAGCCATTCCAAGTACCAGCATCAGGATGCTTAGGGAACAACTGCAGCTTTTGTCAAAGGCTCACAACAGTGTTGCAAAATATAGTCTTAGCCAGCTAAGCTGGACTCAGACGGTAGGAAAAGAGAAATGGGTAGGAAAGAAAAGAAATAAGGCAGGGAAGGAAAAGGACACAAGGGGTAGTGAGGAGACAGTCTCATATCCCAGTGAGTGTTTGGGATTCAGCCAGAGCCAGTGGAGGTGGCAATGTCATTGGGGTCCCTCTCTTGGACCGGTCTGGTAGAATCTCTCTGGTTCCGGACAACAAAAGCCCAATGGTGTCACTGTGGACCTCAGGGTCCCTGGAGTCAATGGAGGTGGCAGGCCAAGATAGTGAAGCTCACTCCTCCTTCCCCTTCTTTCAGTTAGCAATTATGCTCATGCTCGATTTCCCCTGCCCCCATAGTCTTATCTTTTAAGGACCTGTAAGGGGTCGGACTCACCCCTGTGGTGCCTCCTGCTGGTTATCCTGGGAATTAGCTCAATCCAGCCCGGAGCGCCCTCTGCAGGCCGGTGATCCACCTTGTCTTCAGCTGGCTCCCGTGTCCCTCCCAGGACACCGGTGCCCCTTGCTCTGGGTGCTGTCCCCTGGCAGTACCCACACACGCTGGGTCTCCCCTCCCAGGGGAACCCCCACTCACTAACCCCACCTCGCCTCAGTACCAGGCCACTGCCAGTCACTATCAAGCCCCCGCTCCCAGTATAGGCCACTCATCACAGGCAAGGTTAGGTTTGGACCTGCTGCCTTGGCCTACCTCTGGGCTGCCCACTGCAACCCCCAGTACCTTTGGCCTAATACTAGGCCGCAGCCTGGGGCTTTCCAGGCTGGAGCTCCCCAGCTCCTCTGCCTTTCCCCAGCCCTGCTCCACTCAGGTACCCTGTGTCTAGCTCCCTGCAGCCAGGTCCTTCTCTCTCTCTGAGTGCAGAGAGAGACTCTGTCTGAGCTCCTGGCTCCCTGCCTTTATAGGGCCAGCTAAGTCTGTTTGGGGCGTGGCCCAGCTGCAGCCACTTCCCCCGAATCAGCTCAGCCTTCTCCCAGGGCAGTTCCAAACTCCTCAAGGCAGGAGCGGGTATCCACCCTGGTACAGAACCCCAAAAGGAAGAGAAGGGCAGGATAGCCTATCCTTTCAGTTATTGTCCACCAATTAGGCCGAATTTCCAACACACTCATTTTGGTTCATTGATTTCCAGGGCCACATTTCTCATCTACTAGACATGATCTTAACACAGCCCTGGAGTTACATCAGGAGGCCTTTTTGTTTGGACTAAATCAGTCACAGCCAGTCTCCCTTTTACACCTTTCCCATCAACATGGATTGTTGTATGTGATTGGAACATTTCATAAATTTTTATCTGCTTTCTCACAGATGAGTTCACAATTAGTGTAAGTTTGTTGGCTCAGTTATTACAATATGCGCTGAGAGAGACCTGAAGCCATCACAGAAGGGTAAGAGGAGAGAACCTTGCAGGGAGCAGGAAGTCACATGCAGGGGACCAGAGGAGACCCTGGTCTGAGTTCAGTGGGGAAGACACTCTCCCTATGAGCCAGAGGGAAAGGCCTAGCTGGAGGAGGAGTAGGGTTGCCAGGCATCTGGTTTTCGACAGGAATGCCCGGTCAAAAAGGGCCATTAAAAGTCCGGTCGGCGGTGCAGCAGGGGCTTGCCCTAGCTCCAAACAGCTCCCGGAAGAGGCTGCCAGGTCCTTGCAGCCCCTAGGCGCATGGGTGGCCAGGGAGGCTCCACGCGCTGCCTCTGCCCTGAGTGCCGGCTCCGCAGCTCCCATTGGTCAGGAACCGCAACCAATGGGAGCTGCGGGGGTGGCGCCTGTGGGTGTGAGGGCAGCGAGCTGAGCCTCCCTGGCCACCCATGCGCCTAGGGCCGCAAGGACCTGGCGTCCGCTTCCTGGGAGCTGCAGTAAGCACCACCGGGACCCCGCACCCCAACCCCCTGCCCCAGCCCAGAGTCCCCTCCCACACCCAAACTCCTCCCAGAGCCCGCACTTCACACTCCCCCACACTCCAATCCCCTGCCCTTAGCCCCCTCCTGCACCCCAAACCCCTCATCCACAGCCCCTCCCCACTACCCACACCCCCAGGCAGAGCCTGCACCCCCCCACACACTCCCCAACCCCCTGCCCCAGCCCAGAGCCTCCTCCTTCACCCCAAAACGCCTCATCCCTGGTGCCACCCCAGAGCCCACACCCTCATCTGGAGCCTGCACCTCCCCTTCCCCCCCGCACTCCGAACCCCTCGGCCCCAGCCGCTCCCCAGATCCTGCACCCCCCAGCCAGAGACCTCAAATCCCAGCACTCCAACCCCTTGCCCCAGACCAGAGCCCTCTCCTGCACCCTGGACCTCTCATTTCTGGCCCCACCCATAGTCTGCACCCCCAGCCAGAACCCTCACCCCTCTCCTGCACCCGAACACCAGTGAAAGTGAGTGAGGATAGGGGAGAGCAAACAACGGAGCGAGTGGGGGCAGGACAGGGGTGTTCAGTTTTGTGCAATTAGAAAGTTCACAACCCTTATCAGGAGCAATACCCCAACAAGAGTATTAGGAACCCATGGGGACATAATGGACTGCTAAGCCTTGAGAAAAAAGCTGAGAGATTCTACTTTTGAGTTAAACTGTTATTTTATATTAATAAGTCAGATCCCAAGAAGGGGTGAGTACTTCAAGAGCACCAGTTATGGTGGTTTGTTTAACTGAGCAAGGGGGAAACTGAGGCATGAGCAGGTTCTGACACTAGATGAAGCTTTCCTATTTCCCTTTCAAAGCCAGCTGCATTAGAGCATACCCTGCAGATAGCAGATCCTGGGCTCTGGACGTTTCCGGATCAGCCGCCCCATGAAGAACTCACTGTCAAAGTCTTCTGTTCGGACAAAGGCTCCATACTTGCGGAATCCAACCTCATAGGGAGTGAACTCACACCACTCTGAGAGTAAGACAGCAGATCAACAGTTATCTCAGGAACACTCTGAAGTGCAGTCTCATTATCCTATTCTTATAGGAGTGGTTAAAGAAGAGTCTCTGCTTCTTCCAGGATCACCTAGCAGCAATTCCTTCCCCATAAAACCCCATATATAGTAGAACTAGTGTGGCTCTCTTGGGGGAACAGATAGTTGGATCTTCCAGAGAGGCTCTGTAGGAACTCCCTGTGCAGCAAGGTTTGGGGACTAATCAAACCACTGGTATGCAGATCCACCAGCCATTGTCCCTTACAGAGTAGGGGCACAAGAGCAGCAGGAATGATTGCTGTTTCAGGGCTGCAGGAGCCACCAAAGAACACCTCCACTTCTGCTCTATGGCCTGGGTTGGTGAATTCCTTAGCCTAGTCCCCATGAATAGTCCCTGCATCAAGCTCAGCATTAGCACATGTTTGGGTACGGAGGGGAAGAGAAAAAAGATTTAACATCTAGAACTGGGGAGGGGTAACCCTCTCAGATGACAGCTCCTTAGCTATACCACAATTTAGGATTTCTCACTATATCTCACAATTATGGCAATGAGAGCAACTTGACTGTCTAGATGTTTGTCACAGAATGGGCTGCCTCACCCTGGATTTCTCTTTTCAAGCAGCCCTCTCACACTCTTATGCAAGTTCACCACAGTGTACTTTATTTACAACATCTTATGCAGCTTCATGTCCCATCACCATAAGGGAGAGTTTCAAAGCACCCCTGTGGCACAGGAAAGGGAGGTGGAGGGGGAAGAAGTCTCACCTCTCTGAGATCCTGAGCTTCTTTGCCCAGCCTTCCCCTCCTTTCTCCCATTTAACAGTTCCCAGCTAACATGCTGAATCCCCTTGTTAACTGGTTAACCACCCAGTCCTAATCAAATCTCTCCCTGTTTGGTCCATGACGGAAACCTTACAACGTGGTGAGCCAGCCCTAGGCTACTCCCACTCTGTCACACTGTTCAACGATGAAAACATTAGTTGAAGCTCACCAGCAATTCCACATTTTTGAGATTGATTTTTCTGAGCAGCAATTTTTAAATATTTCTTTTTGGTGTCATTAAGTTGTGAAATAGCATACAGCTATTTAAAAACAATAGCACAGAGCGTTATTAAGCCATGCCAGAACTTAACAGAGGTATCTGCCTAAAATATTATTGAAAATGACCCTATGACAGAGTTCAAACCATAAATACATATTTATATTTCCAAAACCTAACCCTTCTGAGATCTATTTGGGCCAGCTACCCAAACCGCATTGCCATTTTATCACTAAAATCCTCCATTTAACCCATTATTAACATTAACAAATATACTTGGTTCTTCAACACCTTTTATCAGTAGATCTTGTTGTGCTTATTTTACAGCTGAGGAAACCAAAGCATAAAGAGGTGAAGTACCTGCCCAAAGTCACCCAGCAATCTAGTAGCAGAGATGGGAAAAGAGCCCAGGTTTCCTGAGTCCCAGTCAAGAGATCCACTAGGCCACATTATTTCCCACGGAAAACAAGTAAGTTTACAGAAGCAATCTTGTCAAGATAGCTCAGAACAGTGCAATGAGTATTGCTCATGGCAGAAATATTGCTTTCTCTAGATTCCCACATCTAGACTATGTTTAACTCTTGACAATTCTTTCTGCATAACATCTCTACAACACAGCCTTTCCTATCTACCATCAGCTAAAACTCTCCTCCAGGTGCTCCTCACCTTGCATCTCAAATACCACATCATCCTTTCCTCTGGCCTTCACAAATCCCATCTTGCCCCACTCATGTCAATTCAGAATGCTGCTGCAAAAATTATTTCCCTAGCCCATTGCTTTGACCATGTCACTCCTCTCTTTGCATCTCTCAACCCCATTCACATAAACGACTCATCTTCACATTCAAGACCCTTCTCAGCATACCTCCCTGCTACCTGTCATCTCTCATACACAGTGGCAGCTCCAGGCACCAGCGCTCCAAGAGCGTGCCTGGGGCAGCAAGCCGCGGGGGGCGCCTGCAAGGGCGCCAATCAGGCAGCCTTAGGCAGCATGCCTGAGTGAGGTCCGCCGGTCCCGTGGATTCGGCTGCAGGTACACCGAATCCGCGGGACCGGCGGACCTCCCACAGGCACCCGCCGAAGGCAGCCTACCTGCCATGCTTGGGGCAGCAAAAAAGCTAGAGCTGATCCTGCTCATACAGTATCAAGATGATGCCTGCCTCTCCACTCAGCCAATACCTGCCTTCATCACCCACTCGTTCAATTTTCTAACAGGCACTTTTGTGCTTTCTCCCATGCTGCCCCCCAAACAGAGGCGAGGCATATGGGAGCGCGGGGGCACACAGGGTTACGTACCAGTGCCTCCCCCTCATTTCTGCAAACGCAAAGCTGCTCAGCTTGGAGGCTGCATCTCCAGCTCCACTGACTCAGCAGCTGAACGCAGCCTCCTGGATCCTAGTGCCAGTTGTGAGCCTTCCTGTCTTCTGTGTAACAGTGAGTGCTCGCGGTGGGGCTGGGTAAGTGGGGGTGGGGGGAGTGAGGGAAGGGGGGGAGAAGGGGTTGGGGGGGAAGAGGCAGTGGGGAAGGAAGGGGGTGGAATAGGGTGGGGGAGGGGAATGTGAGACTGAGCGGAGGGGGATGGAGAAGAAAAGGGGATGGGGAAATCACGGGGGAAAGTGAGAGCCCAGCATGCAGCATCCCCTCAGAAGCAGCTGGGGATCCCCCGTTAAGCAGGCCCATCAAACCCTCACAAGCCCTACCCCCTACACCTGGACCCTTCCAACAACCCCCCACACCCAGACCCCCACCCCACTGAGCCCCAACCAGCTACACCTGGACGCCCATCCCATCAAGCCCCAGTCCCCCAGCACCCGAACCCCCCCCCCCCCCCACCCCCCCCACCCCCCCCCCCTGCCGACTCCCACTGTCCCTGCCCCAATGAGCCCCTTGCATCCAGATCTCCCACTGAGCTGCCCACACCCAAATTGCCCCACACAGAAACCTCTCACCCCACACCTGGATTCCCCCACGCTAAGCCCCTCCACACTTGGATCCTGCTGGGCTGAGCCTGCCTACCCACACCTGGTGTGCCTGGCACAGAGGGGCAGGGCCCCGGGGTGTTTCTGGGGCAGGCCCAGCTCTTGCACTGTGTCAGGGTCAGATGCAGCCTCACTGCTGAGTCCCTGTACTGGGGGATCTGGGGGCTTCAGGGTGATCTCCCACCTCAATGCAGTCAGTGGCCTGTGCTCCCCACTGCCATGCAGGAGTCACATTTATTTGACAAATAAAATTTGCAGAATTTTAAAATATTGTCCGCATAATTTTTTATTTTTTTGGTGCAGAATTCCCTCAGGACTGGATCGTCAGTGATATAGCTATGAGGAGAACATAGGTGAAGGTGAACTTTGCCAAGCAGTGTCCAGTTTGACATATTAGCTATTGGGCTCCCAAATACTGGCTAATCAGCACCTCATGTCTCATGCTCATTATCCAAGCTTCAGGGAATGGGGAAAGGTGGAGCTGCAAAGGGGATTAAGTCTCAGTGCGGGGGAGTTATTTACAGATTTTAAAATAGAAAAATAAACCTGTCTCATTTATACCTGCAAAGTCTTCATCGCTAATATTGGGCCTCACATTGATTGCTGCATAGATGGGATAGGGGTTCTGTGCCCTCTTCACTGCTTCCTGTTGGTCAGACAGCTTTGACAAGTCTTCCTGGTTATAACAGGGAAAGAAAAAAAGCTTAATATTTTTGGTGCTATGCTAGAGCCATCTAGCCCCATGCTCCAGTATTCTGGAGCTCTCTCACTTTCCAACCTCAGCTATAACCATATCACAGGCTCTGAAGCTCCTCTCTCCCCAGTGTAGGGTTCATTATATTTTACTAGAATATTTACATGGCCTAGATATTTTGAATTTTACAGGCATTCTTCACTAGTTAATTGCTGTTTTAATCAGATTCCAATTTGTGATTTCATCTAACTGTATCACTTTACATTCTGTTTTTGAAAAACCATATTGCTAGACATATGTCACCATATTTTCTGAGCTTTAACATTCCAAATGGCTGTCAAATGAATGGCTTGCGAAGTAATTTCAAATAAATACCTAGCTCTGACATAGCATTTTTCATCTATAGATCTCAAAGCGCTTTATACATTAGGTAAATATCATTATCCCCATTTTATAGATAGGAAAACTGAGGCAAAAAACTCCCATGTTTCTCCCAAGACTCCTCTAATCCCAAGAACAATTCTATACAACAGGGGTCGGCAACCTTTCAGAAGTGGTATGCCGAGTCTTCATTTATTCACTCTAAGGTTTCGCGTGCCAGTAATACATTTTAACATTTTTAGAAGGTCTCTTTCTATAAGTCTATAATATATAACTAAACTATTGTTGTATGTAAAGTAAATAAGGTTTTTAAAATGTTTAAGAAGCTTCATTTAAAATTAAATTAAAATGCAGAGCCCCCCGGACCGGTGGCCAGGACCCAGGCAGTGTGAGTGCCACTGAAAATCAGCTCGCGTGCCGCCTTCAGCACGTGTGCCATAGGTTGCCTACCCCTGCTATACAATTTACGCATACACAAAGAGAAATCATCTTCCAGAGCACAAAAACGTGGATATGTTGAGGTCCTAATTTGAAGGCAAACAGCAATACACTTCAGGGTCAATTCTTTACCTTCTGATATAGAAAATACTCTATAATAAGGCCCCACAAGTCTGTGAAAGAGACTTTCCGTCCATCATTCTCCATTGAGTTCAGCTCCTGGAAGTAATATTTCAATCGTTCTGACGAAAGTGCCCCTGCTTTGCTACTAGATACATTATCCCTGGCGTTGCTGATTGCACCTTGGAGGTCCTTACAGGACCAGTCTGTGTCTTGATACAGTGCAGACAAACACCTGAAAAACATTTACATCAAGATCAGTGAATGATATTAAACATCAAATTGCAGCTAAGTATTGTTACTATTGCAGTATTGAACTGAGAACTGTAGAACTCGGACAACCTAGAAGACTAAATACTAAAGCTAACAAGCATAATTAGCTATCCCTGGGGAGGGATAGCTCAGTGGTTTGAGCATTGGCCTGCTAAACCCAGGGTTGGGAGTTCAATCCTTGAGGGGGCCATTTAGGGATCTGGGGCAAAATCAGTACTTGGTCCTGCTAGTGAAGGCAGGGGGCTGGACTCAATGACCTTTCAAGGTCCCTTCCAGCTCTAGGAGATAGGATATCTCCATTTAAAAAAAAAAAAAATTATGAGATGGAGTTTTAAGTTCTAAAATACGCTGGGGAACCTGAGACCAACCTTATTGTTATCACTCTGTCAGCTCATCTACCACTCACGGTTGTTCTGGAGAGCAGATTAGCTAATGCTAATTAGTTTACAAACATTAGCTAACTCATCCTCACAACAGCCCTGCGAGTTAGGTACTGTATGGGGTTCCAAACAGAGCCAGGGTAACTGGCTTCCTCCTCTGCACAGCAGAGAATCTGGCTTCGCAAACCTCCCTACACAAATGTATAAGCTAGAGTTTTAGATGAGGAGCAGTACATATGTATTTACATTAAGTTATTTACCATAACTTTTCCATAAAGGGGGTGAATTTTGAAGGTGCAAATGGAAGTTAAGTATCCAACGCTCACAAAACCTCAATGGGAGCTGGGCATCTACTTCCTCTTTGTGCTTTTGAAAATCTCCCCCAAAAAGCGTTTTCTTTCTGTAATGCGATTATATAGCTTCTACTAGACCCACTGCTGTAGGTATTAAAAATAGTAATGAAACTCTCTTTTTAACCACCCAGAACATTATGACTGTCAACATACAATAGACAATAGCAATATACTGGACTACTGTTTTTTTTAAAGATTATGTGCATTAAATCTAGCATCTCACTTGAAGCTACACAAACCCTATCCAGCTAGAAGTTTCAGGGACCATCATTGCATATTACACACCAAGTAGAACCTGAAATTCCACACAGATACGTTGTGCTGTCCAAAAGGCTGAGCTGCTGAAGCCCTGACAGGCTGCCATAGAATGATGTCAGTGCTCTAGTCCCACCACCAGATCCCAAAACTGCTACAACTGGGACCTGCAGAGAGGCGAGAAACCAGGGAATGACACATTCTGAGTTAATTTTTGATCTGCTGTTTAATTTTATATTTATTTACTCTTTACTTATGTAAGGATGAGACCCTTAAAACACAGGAATAGTTATACTCCTGTTAATATGCTGATTAAATTCCAGTATAAAGTTAATCATGACTGATATTTTAGTAATATAGATCATGTATTATAGAGATCGTAGTATTGTCTAGAGAGTCGTCCATTTGCTGAAAAGAGGTGTGATGTATATTATGTTCCCCAAATGCTAGTCATTTAATCACACGCCTTGCGATAGCACATCAAACGTACACTGTTGTAAGCAAAAATACTTTAATCGTTTCTGTAGCACTAGTACCTAAGACCCCAAGCAGAGATCAGGACTATTGTACCAGGCACTGTGTACACAGACATTCCTTCTGCCCTTCCCTTACAACCATGAGCTTTGCTGGGTCCAAAGGCTGGCTTTATTTTAACATCCTGACAGCACATGATGCAGTAGCTTTGGATGAGAGAATCCAAAGAAATTCTGGAACCTCAAACCCCAGAAATTTTCATCGACCTTCTTGGAAAAATTTTTGGTTTTTGTTAAAATTACTTTTTGTTCCATAAAAGGAACACCTACAAAAAACAAAAAAGTCTGAAAAGATATCAAAATCTAGAACTCAAAATTCTTGGTCTCTAAAGAGAAACTCACCATAGGTGATGCTGGGAATGTTCCGTGAATGAAGGAAAGTCCTGTGGTTTACCTGCAAAGAGCCCTAAATGTTTAAATGATTACCAGTCATAGTGGCTCTACAGCCATCTCTAAACACTGTGCTTCATACCTCATCTTTCCCAGGGGCTTCTCTTAACTTAAGTGTCTTCATTAGTGCCTGAGAAACTATTTTCTTCCTCTTGTCCAAAAATTCTCTCTCTTCTTCACAGAGGTCAAAACCAAGGCGTACATCAAGATCCCAAGTACTGATTACAGAAACAGGCGTTAAAAAGAAATTAGGAGTTTTCATAAATCTAAAGGGTTTGAAACCCCTTGAAAAAGGGTGTATGGTAATCTTCTCTAAGCAAATATTCTAGGCTTACAGTCAAATCACTGTATCAAACACAAAACATGACAACCAATATTCAGTTAAAAAACAGAAGAGCATTTTTTGGTTAAAGGTGAACTTCACTCATCCTCACTATTTTAGTTTGTGGTAAATTCAATCCTACAGTGTCCAAAGACCAGGATTTGATAGTTTCATACAAATAAAATTAAAGTTATGATTGGTTTAAAGAAACAGATAACTGGGCAGGGGCTGGGGATGTCTTTAGCAGAGGGGAAGAGTCTCAGAGGGAGGTAGGGGGAGGATGCAGGTTGAAAGGCTGGATTCACTGTGAGAAGTGCAGGGAAGGAAGGTGTCAGGATTAAGATGATAGTTTTAAAAGGATTTTAGTCGGTTTAAGAGAAGAAAACATCTTACTATGGGTTTGTAGACGAGGGTTGGATCAGAAACTAATAAATGCTATGTTAAGAGGCAATTAGGGATAGCTTATAATTTTAAAAAAATATAATAGAACTAACAAAACATGAATCTATCTACCCCTTACCCTGATCTGTTTTGCTTCTATGCGCTAATCCTTTCCTCAATTTTTTTTTTTAAATTTTATTATTTCATTTTATTTTAGATTGTAAAGCTCTTTGAGCCAGGGGCTGTGTCTTCCTCTTTGTCTGTACAGCTCCCAGCACATTTTGGGCACATTAGTAGTAATAATAAAATACAAAACAGCCACTTTATGTTTGCACATTTAGCTGCTCATTTTTGAGGCCTAATCCCTAGGAATTTATGAAAAAATTGTTCAGATTTCAGGCCCTTTCCTGATATCAGTGCAACAAAGAATAATTTCACAGTGAAAATCAAAATAGAATTTGGTTAGCAGAAGAAAAATATCCAACAAGATTTTATTTTTTCATTCAAACCCAAGAAAGCCTCTACTAAAATGAATGTGCTTCAGGAGCAGTTAACACAGTCACTCAGATCATTCACCGTGAGAGTAAAGTATTTCCTCATCATAGGATCTGCAAGGAATATACTCACCTCTTTTCAGCCTTCACACTCAGATCCAAACTTTGTCCCTGGAAAAATACAATAAATCCCTGAACCAAAGGTAGTTTCACAGGTGAGCCTACTAACAGGGCATGGAGAATGCCTTCACCATTATTATCAAATATTATGCAAGATAAGCATTTCCACCAGCAAAAGCAAATACACAGCACACCTTATTTTCTCCCTGTGACTGTTTTAGTGCAAATAGACTTCTCTTAAAAGCTGTTACACTGGAGTAATATAAAGTTGGAGGACAGGGGAAGAGTGCAAGTATTATTCCTCTTGTGCACTTTTGGCTTTTCCTTCCTCTCTTTCACAGTCTATTTAATTTTTCCCTTGCTTCTGCAAACTGATGGGCACTGATGCTCATTTTGCAGGAATCGGCCCTGAAAATAGCACATCTGAGAATGACTGTGTTGAACAGTCTGCAGTGATTAACTCTATGACATCATTCCAAGAAATGTCATCTTCTTGAGGTGTTAATTTTTAAAATTACAGCAAAACCTGGTAGATGTCAAGAGTTCAATTAAGTCTTCAGTTATGGCAACACTGGCTTTTAGTCCCAAACTTTAAATATGCCTACTTCTAAATGTTGGAACCTTTATCCCAAGAGTATTAAAATACACGCAAAAATATTAGTGGGTTACCTCTCCTAAAGGAACAGCCATGTCTACTTTCTGTCCAACAGGAAGTGATTTAACTGGTACAGTTCCCTGTCCCAGAAGCGTAGTGTGCTTTTCCAGATCAGAGCTTATTTCATCCTAGTAAGAAGAAAGAGTAATTCTACAGTCAAAGAAAAATAGTTTTCATTAAAATAGTAATTTCACCTGTGAAAATATAGAACCAGAACTGTCACAAAGTGGAGTTATTCACATACTGCAACTCACTACAACTCTTCAGAAGAAGGTCTTATGATATCATGTACTTTTGACCACCTTACAGGCTCTCTGTCCACCAAGCCTTCTTTCTTGGGACTATTTCCATCATTCCAAACCTCTAAATTACTTCAAAAATCTAACTGCTCACTTTTTAAAATCAACCTGTCATAAAAATGTTTCTCTTGCCCCCAAATGGGGAATTTCCCCCCAAAAGAGTTGCCCTGGTCTGAGGCCAGTAATGGGCAATATGCAGTGCTGCATTCCTAACGGGTTTAAAGTCCAATATATTGTGACGTGTTTCAAACAGCACTTCATTCTAGCCCTGGAAGGTCCATTGATATCAGACTCTAGAGTCATGACGTTTTGTCTAGAAAAGCTATTTTAGTTCTTTTTGGGAGGTTCATTTTTTACATAGTTAGTAAAGCAAAGCTCCTTCAATTCCTACAGAATTTGATTTATGATAACTGAAGCACCTTGTTTTACAAGGGAGGGATACAAAAAACCAATCCCAATAGAAAAATATTTGTGTTTAAAAATTGTAAAATAGTTTTTCCGTAGCACGTATCACATGCCCAATATATGATAGCATAGCATAAAGGTTTGATATTCATTTATTTGCACAACTAAATTCATGCTGATGAAACCTTTATTCTATACCACACTAGTGTGGGTGGGGCTGGGGGGGGTGTACGTACCCACACCCACAACGGTACAAGAACTTTATTAAGGTTGGACATTCAAGCACTTAAAAGTTAAGGTCGTTCATACAACTTTAATTCAGCCCTCTATTGCATGTGACACAGTCTTTAGTAATTACACAATCACACACTATTTTTTTTTCCCATTCCACCTGTCTCATTCACTCCCACTTTTTTCTTCACCCATTCCAGGCCCAGTCTCACCAGACTTGTTGTTCCAGTCTACTCCTTTCCCACCCACTTCCACACTGCTCCAACTTTTATCCCCTCTGCATTCAAATCAGATGGCTTCCTCCTCCACATTGGCAGGGTGCCAGCAGGGAAGGAGTCACTGAGAGCATAAGGGAGAGAGGCTTCCTTGCTCTCAGTTTCAGTGCCCAGACTCACAGAAAGCAGCCATTTCACACAGGATAAGTCCATTTTTGCCCCTGTAGCCTTGGGCTGTAGGGAGTATGCTCAGTCACACGGTGGGGAAGATGCATGTGCAAGCTGGTCAGCACTAGTAGCTGTGAGAGGCTCAATAATGCTCAGTGAGGATGGAATCTCTGGAGATTTTAGCTGTTTAATATCAAAAAAGTCTCAGAGCATGTGCAAACTCTGATTTCTAAAAGGCCTATAACTTGGCCAAATTTAGGTGGATTTTCAAAGGGATAGCAAAAGGCACATCCTGAGACAAAGACCATCCACTGCCAAATGTAATGTCCCTTGTGAAAAGCATGGGAGCACTACAGCTATTCAAAGAAAAGGTCTCCAGAATTTTTCTTCATTTTTTTTTTTTTAAAACATGGGCAAAAACATATTTTCCCCTTACTTTGTTCTCAGAAACAGCTGAACTGCTTTGTCTGAAATTTTCTAAAAGAATCCAGCCTAAGACTGATACCCAGCATGGAAAATTTCAGACTGAACAATTAAAGTCTGACAAAGTTATAGGCCACTGAAAAGAGGCTCTTATAATGGAAAGTGTCAGGGAACCTTCATAATAGGCAGCACTACCATCCCCATCTGTAATTGCCAGTACTCCATGAGAAAATTGCTTTCAACACCAGTATCTATCTGACTACTATACAATGGCAAACCAGAAATTGGTTTCCTCTAAAGAAATTCCTGGCATGATGATCATAACCATAAATCAGTGCAAATTACTCTTCAGTCTATTTCATGGACCAGGAGACACCTTGCTTCAGAATGGATTTGTTCCAAAAGTGGTTGGTAGGCTATGTAGATGTCAGCACAGATGCTCACCTGTATGACAGTTATTGTTTGCTCCAGTTCCACCTCCAGGTCTGGACACATTTCTTTGTCTACATGAAAGACAAATGGGGTCCCAAAATCTTGTTCATTGTCCAGTCTGCAAGGAATGCACAACTGTTTCTCATAGGCCCCCGGCATTGATAGCTTGATCTGACAGCTCCCTGACAGTAGGAATGAGAGAGTTATGTCAGAACAGTCACTGAAACACACACTGAAAACTAGAGAATGCTGTTAGAAATGACAGCCAGACTACAGAGACAAAAACTAAAGCTCCCAAGTTTTCTTTCATATGACACTTTATGGAAAAGATGAAATATCATTCCATTTTTATTAACAGATTTATTAAAAAGCCACTTCTTGAAAGAAAGTAGTAAACAGCATGTTACATGGAAAGTGAAGCAAAGCTCCTTAGAATTGGATGGCAAGAGGCAAAATTCAGGTGAGGATCCAAACTTCCTCCAGGATGGGATGGATGTGCTAAAGAGCGAGCAATAGAGTAGCTCTTCCTTTAAATATACAAGCAGACATACCCTTTTCACTCTGCTTTGACTTCTCATCTTTGTTGATTACACCTTGAAGACACAGGCAGGGATGAGCCTATTTGAAAAACAAAACACATTCATTTCAATTCCCCACTGAAGTATAATCCAGTGACAATAGGAAGTGGTTTAGAGCATTGATCCTGTAGCAAAATGAAGGTTTGGGGGGCAGATTTGTTCCTTCAAATGGACAGGGTTTGTAGGGCAGGGATTGTTGCTGTTTTTGAACTGAAAATCACTTCCCTACACCATAACTTCCTCACACCCTATTCTACACAGCTACAGACTGTCAGGATACACAGACTTTTTTCTATTTTTTTATTTAAACTTACTAAGAATGTGCTTTGTGTTCAATCTCTTTCCCCTCCAAAAATTTAGGGAAACTAAAAGGTGGCTTGATTTGTATTTAGATCCAAATCAGAATGGAACTGAAATACAAGCTGAGCAAACAGCCAGCTTTGCACAGAAGGGAAAAATTGCTTGCCATCCATCCCACAATTCACAGAAACTGCACCATTTCTGCCTATGCAAACACCTCTTACACTGTAGTCTCAAAACCCTGCCTTCGAGTGACCATGTGGAGAGAGAGGAGGTCGGTTTCCCACTCCATTCAGTCCTTGGTTTCTCTGATGAGACTGTGGACAAGGGACTTCACTGATGTTAACTTTGCTCATTAAATTTTATTAAAGCATCAACGTTCCTCCACAACTCTACTGGTCCCCACAGAGAGGGTACATGTCTACCTTTGAGCTGGAAGGTGTGATTCCCAGCTCATGCAGAAGTATCCACTCTAGTTCTGCTCAAAATTGCATGCTGGAAATAGCAGCTCAGCCAGGGTAGCACAGGTGAATACACACCCACCCAGACCACCTGAGTACAGACTGAAATGGCTAGGCCAAGCCACCACTCATGCTACCCAGGCTACACTGCCATTTTTAGCATGGTAGCTTGAGCACAGCGAGTGCAGATATGTCTAGGTCAGCTGGGAATCATACTTCCCTAACACGTGGAACCAAGCAGTTGCTTAAATGGAAGACTGACATGCTGGGAGGTGTAGATCCATGCTCTTATGAAGCGGCCTATAGAATGAAAAGATTTGAGAATGACTGCACTAGGAAATGAATTGATTCCCACCCATTCAGTTCACGTACAGGCTATTAGGCAGCCTCAACAGTTATTTTCAGACATGATTTACCTAGGCTGAATTACAGTCAGTGACCTAGAAGCAAAATGCTCCATATTAGAACTGCGCAGAGGATGGAAATTCCATTTTGGGAAGGATTTTGAGATTTCGGAGTTTGGCTTCATTCTAAATCACAACAAAATCCAAAAATTTCACAATTCTCCATGAAAGAAAATTCTTACAAATATTTCATTTCTGATTGATCAAAACTTTTCTTCCCCCCACACCTTGACACCCAATTTTTCTTCAAGATGAAATTTCAGTGAAATCAGCATGATTTCACACAGCATTCAATTTCAATAGCACTACATTCTCCAATAGAAAATGCTTCAGCCTAAGTTTTTTGGATCCACTCCACTCCATATCCTCCTATCCTGTTAATTTCCTTAGCTAACCAGTCCTTCCCTCCATCCCTCATCTGCGATTGGGATTCTTCACTATATAAGATACCATTTTCATACTACCATTTTCTCTGAAGACTTAAAGAAATTGCCTGAGATCAGGCCCTCTGGCTTCAAATTTCAGATTCAGCAGCCAATGTTGCAATGATTTATCCCGTTTACTATTACTAATAAGAAATGACTGGAAAGAATGTATGCTGAACTTGCATATTACAAAAGTACAAAGTAGCACAGGAAAGAGGGGTGCAGGTAAGTGTCAAGGACTGGAGGATAGAGGGGTCCACAAAATATCCACTGACGCTACAAAGGCATTGTTTTGAAACAGCATCCTTCCTTGGCTATGAAGCCATCTGACCTACTGGAAAAAATAACCCCCATCACAGGACAGTGCCCTAATTTCCAGAAATCCAGATTAAATATTTTTATATAAGCAAATGCAAGAAGGGACAAGTGTGAAGTAGAGGAAATTAGATGCATGGATTTTGGGGACCCTCTAATTTTGAAGTGCTCATCCCCTGTTTAACCACTGAAAGCTGCACTAAGTAACAATTCTCTAATGAATAACCAATTATCTCCATTCACTCACCACAAGAACACCATTGGTGAGGATCTCAGTAGGGGCACCTGAGCTGTGAAGGTAAAGGGTAAATATGAATGAGTTTTGATTTTAATTTCCCATTGGTCCCTCATTTTGATGCCCCTCACACCTCCCTTTCCATACTGAGTGCTTGGAGGCACCTTGTGTGCTCACAATCTGTAATCAGACACTGAGAATGGCAGTTCAGTAAACGTTTCCTTCATAGGGTAATGGAAAAAATGTTACTATTAAAAGGAGAAACTGCTTCCTGGCTTTGTGCAGCTGTCACACGCACACGCAGATTCCCACCTCAGTTTCCAGAAGGGAGGCTGGTCTCAAATGAAAAGAGACCAAACATAAAAAAGGTATTCTGGATAGGCAGGTGTAGTGTTAATTGTATTACAGGGATTATTGCAGTAACCTTCCATTGTAAGCTAAGACTTCATCAACATGAGCTTCACCACAGCAATGGCAGATAGACTCCAATACTGAGATTTCCCTTATTGCAATGCCGCAGCAACAAGATTCCAGCAAAGTAATATTCCAGAGCACTGTGCCAGTGCCCTAAGGCTGAGGACGCCATAGCCTTGAAGGCATTTATACCTCAGAAATAATGCAAAGAATTGTAAGAGGTGGGAGACCATCACTGTATTCTAAAATAATGTATTAACAATGCACATTTACATTGAGCAGTGTACTTAGATGATCAGACTTACCATTTTTCTAAGTAGAACTCTACATCCAACTCCTCCTGAGCCTTTACAAAAAAAAACAAACAGACACAGAACAAGATAATCTCTAACCATTAGAAAGAATATGAAGCAGGTTCAGGTTCACCCAGCAGCTTTGCCTATAAGGCAATCTTCACATTAGCTTATATACTCTAGAGATTGTTTGCTTTTTTTTAAAAAGTGCAATTATATTCAGAAGTGACCAAGAAAAAATGAGAGAGAAGGTGGGCGAGATAATATCTTTTACCCTATCCCCAAAAGCACATGACTAGTCCCATTGAAGTCAATTCATATAAATAACGCTCCATAACTGCTTAAGTGTTACCAACATCAAGGCTTTAATTTTCAATATACTGATCTTTGACTATAGCAGTTCTGTAGACGTCAACTAGGACACCCTACCAATAGTGGCATTTTAAAAAAAAAAAAAACATTTATAATTTAACTCATTATAAAATGTAATCTAAAGTTATATTAGCACAAATTTTCAAATAAGTTTTACTAAGCTTCAACCTCATTTAAATCAATTACTTAAAACTGCACCCCCTGCATTAAAGTCATTTGGTCCATTGGCTTAGGGTAGTCAAAAGGATCTACCAGGAAAGGGCAGGAGAAAAGACAACAGAGGGGCGTGTGTTGGGAAAAAAGCAGGACAGATTTATGTGGGACAGAGCTGTAGAATGCTTTGAATGGGAGAAGTTAGAAGTTTAGCCAGAGGAAGAAAGAAAGCGAGTACAGAAAGAGGGTTAGAGTGAAACTGTAGTCAAAGCAGTGGGACTGTACAAGGATTTTTTTTTTTTTATGGTTTAGGAGAGGTGACATTGTCTCGCAAACTGATCATGGGACTAGGAGTTGAACTCCTGAATCCTAATCTTGATTGTTGTGTCCATGGGTATGTCACTTAGATCAACATTTTCAAAAGCAGCTGCTAATTTTAGGTACCTCAATATCTGGG